AGATAGATAAAGTCTTTTGTCGAATACAGAGAATGGAGGATTTGTAACGTCAACGGCTTTAATTGCAGCCTTTTTAATGTCAGTAAGGCTCCAATCAGTTGGGAAAGCAGGATTTGTGTTTGGGAATAATATTTTATTAATAAAGTGAGAAATAGCGGTTTCGCCACCTTCGTTATTTGACAAATCAATAATGAGTTTAGTAACACCAGTATTTGCCAATGCTTTGAAACCGTTTGCAAGACTAGTAAAGGCATCATCAGTAGTAGCAGCTTCTGACGAAATCAAAGCAATACCAATATTACTTTTACTCTTCAATTTGTAAAATTGAGCTAAACTTGCATTAGAAACTAATGTGGCATCACTGAACACGACATCTTCTTGGAATAAATTAGCATCATTCATTTGCACAGGGTCAAAAGCATTTCGATGTTTTTTACGACGATCATATCGTTTACGTTTTGGTATTTCAAATTTTAAAAGTGAATCCGGGAAAGATTTAGGATGTCGGGAAGATTTAGGTTTAGAACGTTTAGTGGGTTGGGTAGAATTAGGAGGGTTAGGTTTAGAAGGTTGGGTAGGATTAGGAGGGGTAGGTTTAGAAGGTTGGGTAGGATTAGGAGGGTTAGGTTTAGAAAGTTGAGTCGATGTAGGAGATTGAGTCGATTGGGTAGATGTAGGAGGTTGGGTAGATGTAAGAGATTGGGTAGATGTAGGAGACTGAGAAGGTGTGGGTGCGGAAGGATTAACACAGAAGTTTGACCAGTAAGAAGAAGAATCCGAAAAACTATTAAGATCATTTCCGTTGTTTATAAAAGCCACCCATTCTCTTACAACAGTTTTGGTTCCTGAACCACAATTTAAAGTGTAAGTGATAGAATCTGTATCTGGTAAGATTAACCGAATATTGAATTGAGAGGATCTCGGATGAAGTTGAATGTTTCCATTAACTAATGCCAATGAAGCTAATGCCATATTGAATCGAACACCAAGATCTTTAGAGATAAATACGGTATCGCTAGCATATTGCTTGATAACATCCAACGCTGGATTACCATCGATTTTATCAACCACACAATCTTTATTACTTGAATCCAAAGTATCCTTAAAGACTTTGATCTGCTGTGAACCATCAGTTGTAACTGTAGAATATAAGGCCAATTGTTGAGTAAAAGTAAATCTTGTATAACAAATTGGAAAGTAGAAAGTATGCGCATCTTTCAACTTAATTATCAAGTTGGTCACATCAGTCTAAAAAAGCAATTAACAAATATTTAATTTAATAATCGATTAAAATTATATAAAATATATATATATAGTAATTTTTTTATTTATATACATACCGTAAAGTCAAAGTCATTATTATAGCTATTTTTAGCTATTGAATCAAGTTTATTTGAGATGTCAATTG